TTGTTTCAAAATTTTAAGTTTTAATTATTTTATATTTTTGATTTTATTCTTTGCAATTAGCTATTTTCCACAGACTTAGTTCTATAACTTACTTTAAAAATTATGTTTAATGTGACCTGTGAAATTTTATTTATAGAGAAAGCAATATTACATAATGTGAAAAAAAATCTGTGAAAAGTATTTAAAATAAGATCAAAAAGCTGATTTTTATAATAAAATAAAAACTGAACCAATTTGAAAGATGCATCTCTAACAATGTAAATAAAATACAAAAAAAATAATATTTTGAAAAATATAATTTGAAAAAAAAAAGCTCAAGTTTATCTCTAAACCTTCTTCTTTTTTTTTATAAAAAAGCTTTTCAAGGGTTAATTTCTTGTTTGCTTTTCTCTTTTAATTTCCATTTTGAAAATATTGCAACAATAATGGACCAAAACTAACTCCATAGTCTCCTGGCCGCTCCCTTTAGCCCACCTTGTTCCCAAGCATGAGCCAATAATCAGCTGGACCGGTTAGAAACGGTTAGAAGAGGCTTCAATTCTGCTTCAAGCTGCTTCACTGCCAGACGAGCTGAAATACGGACACCATGGAAACACTTTTCATAACATCTTTATTGGATGTTTCCATTTTAAACATATTTACAGATACTTGAATCTTAACTTTGTAGCTCAGTAGAAATACAAATACAGAACAATGGGTTTTCCAAAACACCACTGGAGCCAATTGATGGCCGTCGGGGGGGATTCGGGGGTGGGGGGTGCAAGGGGGGGCCGAGTCTGTACTGCATTAATGAACTGAATAATGGCAGAATATAATCAATTAATTTTTCATAATATTTTCATGAGCGAACAAGAAAACAAGGCTTTGGGACGGATGGAGGAGGTGGAGAGGAATGTGTGTGTGTGTGCTGAGGGGGTTAAAAGTTTCAACTAAATTTCAGAGGAAATCCTCAGCTTCATGTTGCGTCATGAAGCCACTTTGTTTACAAAAGAAATCATCTCTGTGCTCCGTCTAGTTTGGTGAAAACATCCATTCCTGATTATTTCAAACTGGGCTAACATGTTCTGGAGGATAATGATGATCATCTTTAACCTGGAGCTGCAGGAAAACCCAGAACGTGCCGGGACACTTGTCTCTTCATAAATTAAAGACCTGGTGGCGCCTAATAGGGGAAAGGAAAGCGCTGAACGGTTCTAAGCGGACAGACGCGTAAAGAACCACAGCAAACATCCAGAGAACACATCAAACGGGACCAAACGTTTGCTTTTTGGTAGAAAACCACAGCACACTGCCCTCATTGTAGTGAATATGGCGGCAGCAGCGTCATGCTGAGGGGAGTCTGTGCTTTAACAAACGTGTTTTTTTTGCTGTTATGCAGACTCTCAGCTGTTCTGCAAAAAAAAATGTCAGGATTGAGTCTTTCAGTTTCCTGCCATCTGATGAATACACACCAGGAAAATACAAACCCACTTTAAAGTTTGTTTAAACCTTGAAAAAACAGGGTCATGGTCAAAGATGAACACCAGCAGCAACCCAGGAAGATTCCTCCTGTTCACCATTTAAACGTGTCTGAAAGGTCAGCAGAGAACCAACAGTAAAAACCAGACGACACAGTTGCAGCGTCATGATTGAGGAGGACGGCTGCAGATGTTATCAGCGATGCAGGGACTAAAACCACATCTGAGGTTTGGTGTTGGGGGCGTCTGTACTGGTGCAGCTGTAAAGGTCAGATGACCGACTTTGACGTTATGAAAGAGAGAAAGAAAATCCCAGTATTGCTTCATCACTGCTCCCAGCTGCAGGGATAATGTTTGACTGCGCTGAACATGAGCCTCATCCAGCTCTGCTCATATACGTCCTCCTTTGCATGAGAAAAATGGTACAGAATGTTCTTTAAGATGTAAATATTTCTTTAAATATTCAGATTAAATGGAAAAAAGGGAAGAACAGAAACTCCATCAAAGAATGTTACATAAAAAGGCTGTTTGACACAGATGGGAGTGTTTCCCTCTTTCTGTTATTAATAGACTCTTGGCTCGCCTGCTTCCCTCTGTGGTCACTCTCCCTCCAAAATCCTTCATTTTCTTCTTTTTATGTTTTTTGTGGTGAACCTTCAGTTTATCCCCACCTTCATATCGGTCTACATCAACTGGCTGGAAATCAGAATCTTTTTTTGTCCCTTTTCACTTCAAGCTTTGACGAGTGGGGTTCAGGCGCGGGTCACATTAAACGTCTGAAGCCTTGAGAAAGAATTTATGAAAAACAAACGAGTTTGAGAGTTAAAGCTTTTAACAGACTAGGATCAGCAGTAAAACGCTGTCAGGATGGCGGACGGCAGGCAGCGCTAACATGTGGAGCTGCTGAGCTCACAGAGAAAAGGCAGGATAGTTAAAGAGGCAAACAGAGCTGGAAAACCTGACAACTCTCCAGGATACAGTGTTACTACTGATTGGAACAGAAACAAATTAGAGGAAATATGTGAACAGGAAACAAACATCCTAATGATCTCAAAGATCATCCTCTTATCAAACACTTTCTGTCAAATTAGGAATCTTATTTTTAATCGATGCAAATTTTAAATCAATAAATCTACAGTGATGCCCTCCATGGTCCTGAAACAATGTTTTATTTTTACCCTCAGTGTCTGAGCTAAATGAACGACAGATTGTGGCGGTTTCCGCTCTTCCGCCCTAACTCCTAAATGGAGCAGGGACTTTATACCAGTGTTGGCCCCCATACCGATACACCATACCTGGCATCATTGGCCGATACCGATACCATCTATTTGAAATTGATGTGTGTTTATGAAGAACTGCAAACTACTTGGATGTAAAATAATTGCCATCATGGCTTTGTCAATCTGCTGCCTACCTTTGTGAAGCAGGAAAAAGACTAAAACAAAGTGAATCCAGTAGAACTTTTTATTGCCTACCAGGAGTGGGTGACAATAGTTGAATAAACTTTTGGCTCTCAAAATGGTATCAGTGCCCTATTTGTTGGTACTCACCGATACCGATACCACCATTTTAGTGCTGGATCGGGGCCCCGCCTGATACTGGTATCGGTATGGGTGCAACACTACTTTATACTGAACTCAGTTAACTGACCGGTTGGACAGATCACTGCTTCTTGCTCCCCATTGGTCACATGACTCCAGCTCCCCCGCCATCTTTGTTTTTTGTCGCTGCTGTCGGGTAGCAACAGCCGTAGGTGATAGCGGGTCGCTGTGACAACAAATCCCATTATGCTTTGCCAGGAGAGCTCTCCTGGCAAAGCATAATGGGATATTTCTGCTCATCTAGTAACCATGGATGATCTACACTTTGCAAGCTGCATTGTGTGAACTTTTGAGTTTACCACTTTTTTCATCTGCTAGACATTAGGACACTCATTTAAAATGGCGTAACCACTATATAGTATCCTATATAGTGATTAGGGCTCATATTCGCACACAGCCTGTGAATTGGTATTCAGGCTTCCCTTCCAACTGACATGACGTGACCTTCCAGACGGTTGGTCTTACTAGGCCAACATGGCTGACAGGGACCTAATAATCCAGTTAAACCTGCATCTACTGGAGTAAAAACCATCTTTTAAACCCAAAATCTAGCAAAAGTCTACTTATTATTTTGTTTTTTATATTTTCCCATCATTGTGGTATTCAGCCAGTCAGGCTGGGCCTCAGCACCAAGTGCTTTTAAAGTCATAGGGAAACCGCTGTTCCAGAAGGTTAGAATGTTATACTTTAGAAAAAGTAAAGATATAATTAAGACTTAAAGTCGTCGGGAAACAGCTGTTCCAACCGTTGCATTTCTGAAAGTGAATGTGATTGGTCATTTATCACGGGGGCGGGATTGTTGTGGCGGAAGGTTTGCAAGCCTGTTTGATTGTGGCCAGTGTCTCAGAAGCATCTTGCTAACCAGTTAGCAACTTAGTGCTAGTAGGTTCCCAATAGGAAATTATATCCGGACCAAGTAGCGCTAAATTGGTGAATTAGCAACGACACTGTCAAGGAACGCTATGGACAGCGGAAACATGCAAGAGGAGGAGAGTTTAGTGTCAGAGGTCGTGGATCAGTCTCCTCTGTCATCCATTTTTTATTTAAAGCAGGGACAAAATTGTTGTGAAAGAGGACACCAGGGCTGCAGAAGCTTGGTTTGGTGTAGAAGGCTTCCAGCCGTACATGTTTGAGCCCTTGCCTCGCAACGCTGCCAGTTCTGTTAGCTCTACGCCTGCCGAAGACACAGACGTCCATCCCCGTGAACACTGGGACGGAACTCAATGGGAAAGGATATTCTTCTTCTTTCTTATTTCAACCGTTGCGTATATTAGCTGCAACATATGAATCAAGATGCTATGACCAAAGAAATTTGATTGACAGATGATCGTTGATATATGATTGGCTGAATTTAGGTGAACAAGCTGACGTATAACTAACTGGCCTGCAGAAGATAACGAAAAAAACACATTTTAAGACAGGATTTTTTTAAAAATAGAAATTTTCTAAATTAGGACAATATGGTCTGATAAAGAGTACATTTATATACATGTTTAAGCCAGAATGATTTGACGTTTAAATATGATTAGCTTAAGACTTTAAACCTCCTGAGTGCGGTGCTGGTCTGTTAGATCACCAACCAAAGGCTCTTTATTCTCCTTTACTCAGCTGATCAATCGGCACTGAATGCTCCACATTTTAACCAGGAATCACCGCTGTTCTTTCCATAACACTCAGCATATTTCTGTTCACTCCATAGAAAAGGAAACATTTCAAACACAAAACAAATATAAGATTTTACCATTAGAGGAAAAATACTTCAATTATTCTGGCAGCGTCACCTATAACTGAACGTTTGAATGGAGTTAAGCATCTGCTAGAGGCAGAAAATATGAAGGTTGAGTAATTTTCTTCATTAAAGGCTTTGAAGAGCTTAAAATGAGGTTAAAGATGGAGGCCTTTAACTAGCCGCTGGAGGAAACAGAGAACGGTACATGAGAGCTCTGCACTGAGGATTCATCATTTATTCACCTATTTCAGTGCTACACCACTTTATTTTCCTTTCTAAGTGCAAACAGATGATTTACAGCAGAGCCACCAAAACAAACACGTTTACCAAAGCGTGGTCTCATCATGAGCGACCTCAAAATAATGCTGAGGATGTAGGAAATGTACGGCGTGTTCTGGAAACGGAGGGAGAAGCAGCATCCAGTCGAGCAGCAGCAGAACGGTTTCTGGGTGGGACTGGTGTGTGGAGGCCTTCTCTGATATAGCCGCTCATTACAAAGAAAAGCAAAAAGCCTTAGATCAGGCGGTCACCGCCAACACCTCCTGCCTGTGAAGATCGGATGAGTTCCAGGTCCGGGTCCATCCGATGAAGACCAAACAGGAAGTGGGCTCGGTCAGGGAGAAGCGAAGGGCTTTGATACGACCCTGTGTCTCCATTAATATTTTGTCCAAAACGACAACAAAAACATCTTATTAACAGACCCTGTAAAAGTCCACTAGAGTGTTTACGTGAAAAAAAACAAAACAGAGTGAGAATAGTTTGGACTCTTTAGGGCCTCAGCTTAGAGTCTGAAGGAGAACGTTTGGTCAAATGAAGGAGATAAAGAACCAAGCCTCTCGTTTGGAGTGAATCTCTCAGAGGCCGAGCAGCGCACCCACCGTCTGCCTGGTTTAAGCAATGAAGACACAGAACTATAGTGAGATATAAAGATAGGGACACAGAAGAAGAAGAAGAAGAGGGGGAGGTCCAGAGGGTGAGTCCTTTCCTCTGGGCAGCGGCCTCTCCGTCTCCTCTGGCTCATGTCTGCAGTTCAGGCGCAGATTAAAGAGTTCCTGTGGAAGTTTGTCCGGCGGTGGGTGGGGGAGTTTTAGGGCGATCGGTCAGGCGAGCAGAAAGGTGGCGCTCCCTGGTGGAGGCGAGCCAGTGGGTCTATCGCTGGGCGGACTCGCTGCCGGGGAGGGTGATGTTGCCCAGGTGGAGGACGGGGAGAGGGTGAGCCTCGGTGTTAAACACCCAGCTCTCAAAGGGCATCAGGTCTTCACTGGAGAACAGCAGGTACAGGTACCTGTGGGGGACAAAAGACAGAGGACACCCCTATGATAACAATATCCTCCTGGTAAAATAGAATGTTCTGAAATAAGATAGGATCCCACATCACCACCCCTCCACCTCCATGCATGACAGATGGAAAGAGGCACCTGGAGAGCTACACTTTATAAAAACATCTCCTCAGACTCAGAATGGATGTAAACAGAATTCACTGCATCTTCAGACGTAACAAACATGGATCAACTTCACAAGCAGACGGACATAAAAAAATCATTACAGCTTTAATTTGCTTCCTAATCATGTTTTTTAGATAAATAAAACCTTATATCAAAGGTAGGATAACTCATAATGTGAAATCATATCATTTACTTTTCCATCCTGTTGATATAATCCAACACAATGAAACCAAAATCCAATTTCTTTAACTTTTTACCTGCGATTACATTTTTATCCCTTTCAGTCTAGTTATTAACATTGCAAACTTGCAAACTAACTCCTCATATCTTAAAAGAGCACAAAAGAAAATGGAATAACTTCTAAATGAGAAAAATGAACAAAAGAGAAAGTTTGGGGAAAATGATGTTGCTGAAATTGCAGCGGTTCTAAAATGTTGCTGGTCAGAGGAGACCAGCAGCCAATCAGAGCTCGACCATTGAGGCGGCGAGCTGGGAGGACATGGAGAAGAGATGAAACAAAAAAAGGACTCATAAGGACTGAAATGTCACCTTCTCAGGGAGTTTCAAAGCAGTGTGGCAGCTGACATTTCAGAGCTCACACACCAAACAGACTCTGCTGTTTATTTCAATCTTAGTCAAGAGCCCAGCTCTGAACAGCAGCCAGGAAATGTCAGTTTACTCTAATTATCTTCATCGTAGAACAGCTGTGCTGTTTTAACCACACGGGTAAAGAGAGACGCATCTCTTACGACTTTTTAGCAAAGCTTTAGGTTTAAATAGAGAGTTGGACTTCAGAGGCTCATTTCTACAATTGTCTTACAGAACTTGGAAAAAACAGACAGAAAGGAAGGAAACAAAGAAGGAAAGGACAAAGGAAGAGAGGGAGGACACAGGAAGGAGGGAAAGAAGGAGGGAACAGGGGAAGGGAATAAATGAGGAAAGGATGGAGGATAAATCAAAGCAAGGGTATAAAGAGAGAAGAAAGAAGCTTCGAAGGTAAGAGGGAAGGAAACAAGGCAGCAAAGCAGGAAGAAAGGAGGAAGGCAACAAGAAAGGACAGAAAGAATAAAAAGAAAGAAAGATCTATAGTTAGAAGGAACAAGGAAGGAAGGATGTAAAAATTAGAAGGTGAAAATGAAGGATGCGACTTTTAGACTGTTTTACAGTCGATGAAGTCAGAAAAAAAAAAAAAAAAACATCAGTTAATATTTGTCCAAATGTTTGGCTTGGAAAACACTGAACTTTGATTCCAGACAGGAAGCCTGGAAAAACAATGAATTAAATATGGTAATAAATAAAGCCGAGAGCCTAGATCAATGACGTAGAGTGGCCAGCAGGGGGCAGCAGAGAGCCACGACCCACAGACTCCCTGAGCTGCTTCTCCTCATCCCCACAGTGATGGAGGGAAAACAACACTGGTTCCCTCTGCACCAAGCAGACTAGGAGACGCTGCTACACAGGTCCAAGTGGCTACAGGTCAAAAACTGCTTCCGTTGGACTTCTAAACACTGTCCAGTATATCCCATGTCAAATAGGTTTTGGTTTTGGATGGTCAGCATTCTCCATGCCGCTCTACAAGCAGTGAATCACTATAATGGTTCTTACTTTAGCGTCTCGGCGAGGAAGAAGCTTTGCTGCACATCGTCGTAGGTCGGGTTGGACGAGTAGACATCCTTCACTCCAGAGAAACCGCCACTCACCCGGCAGTACTTATCAATGGCCTGCAGGAGACAGAATGAAGAGAGGAAAGGGTAGAAATGTGAAGGTTGTATGAGAGCAAGAAGCAGAAAGAGAGAGCAAAGGGGGAGAGGACAGATTGGACGTCAAAAGTGTAAAAGAAACAAAGAGAACAGAAACGTCCAAAGAAAAGAAGGACGGATCAGAGAGAACAGAAAGGAGCAAAGCAAAGATTGGAGGAGGAGAACACATTTTAATAAGCTTATAAAAGCAGGCTGTAATTAATTTCTTTGCTTGAGACAGATTAGAGCAGGTCCTGGGGAGACATTCAGGAGGCAGCTGCTCCACAAAACCATGACAGCAAACTGCAGCATTCACACTTTATCTGCTACATTAGTGGCCATTTCTTCCCGAACACAAAACTGCTTCATCATGAGAAAAAAAACACCCTTATTTTCTCTTCTAATGAGAGAAAACGATCAGCTACATCATTACATTTAGATTAAAAATATTTAGGTGGAAAACGAGATGACCAGATGACTGAGATCATCATGGAACCTGATTTGGGCTTTTTTTTGGCAGCAAGCTTCCCACTAAAATATATAAACATCAGCATTGTTTACGGTTTTAAAAAAACATTCTGATCTGTAGAATAATATTTTCCAGTAGGATTAACATGAAAATAAGGGAAGATGCTAAATTCTGCAACCGGAAGCAGAAGCTGATCTTTATATAGGATCTAAATCATACACAGGGACTCAAATCTTTGCATTAAGATCTGCTGTCATTTGGCGAATTGTTTATTAGCAATGCAGGAGAAGGTTCTGGTTCAGGTCCTAAAATTAATCCATGATTTCAGACTCAGAATCGCTTATAACGGCCAAGATTGTGTCCAAATAAAAGACTTTCTGATGATTACACTCTTTTTGCTAAATTTCTTTATAAACTGAAGCATTTTGTATATTTATCATAACGACACCAGGAGAGTAGAGGTATGACGCTGCTCAGGCGCCCAATGATTAAGACTTAAAAATGATTAAATGCCAAGAGGGAAAAGAGGTGAGTGGTGCTAAGATTATAACACCAAGGTTTGTTGTTCACAATAGCAGGAGTTGGTAGGTTGATGCATGAGTAAATCCTGCCAGCAGATGGCGACAGCGCTAAACATGTCATGTGCCAAACATGGCAGGTTTAAATGTCCAAAACCGGACTTGATGCATGTTTGATCACTCAGCTGGACCCTGGGCTCAGTTTATTAGAGCTAAAGAGAAAGAATTACTTAGCAGAGAATGGTTTGGGTTAGTCACTATTTAAAACAACAGAAACAGAACCTCAGCATAATGCTGCCACCTCCATGCCTAATATAGACAGCTTGTTTTCACATTTTGAGATCCTCACTTGGACTCATCGGATCATTTTCACAGCCTATTCTGTTGATTGTTCAGCCTGTTTATTTTACACATCTTTTCTGTGGTGCTGTCGCTCCTTCCACTAAACTTCATATTATTACTCATCAGATTCATTGGTTCTGTTTAATTAATATTATTCAGCTGCATTAACTTTACAGGATTTTATTAATGAGATTTAATAAACACCCAGTTTAGTGGAACCAGTTGACATAACTAGGTTAAGTTTCTGCAATATTTACATTTTAATATTATATTCTATATTTCTGTACTTCTTTTAAATAAATCCATCAAGCTTTACTGCATCATCCTTATTAAATAACATTCATGAACGGTGCTGAGGGTACCTGCATTTAACTGCTCCAGTAAGTATGAATTGTCTTTAATAATTATAATGTTTACAGTGACAGGATTACGTTGAATTATTTTGTCTGTAGTTGAACTGAAAGTTCTAGTTTTTGTTTAAAAACAACAAAACTTGCCTGAGTTCACCATAAAACTTTTATTTTCCTTATTAAACAAAATAGAAAAGTCTGTATTTTCAGTTAAGATGTGAAAAACTATTTGAAATGACAAAGTTTCACCCACAACAACAATAAAAAACCCAAAACAGTTAAAATACTTCATTGAAAACTTTTATCCAGTGTGTGTGTGTTTGTGTGTGTGTGTGTGTGTATTTTTATTACTCTAATGTTTTCAGAGCGGGTTTAATTTCCATTTCTGATACTGTAACGGGTTATTTAACACGACAAGCTTTAATATTCCAGTTTAGATTCCATCTCCTCGACAGCAGTGACATTCAATATCTGACATTTTTCCTCTCGCAGCGCGGCGGCCTTCGGATGTCAGGCTGCTGTTTCTATTCTTTTGTGACAAAGTTTTTATCCAAAGCTCAAAGCAGGTTTGCCTTTTCCTGCACGGCGAGGAGCAGCTGTAAGGAATGATGGAACGAGGTGAGGTTATCGCCTGAGGGGCGACATCCAGCCAGATTAGACAGCTGACACCTACCGCACCTCACCTTACAATAACAAATACTAATATCTAAAAAGTCTCTCCTTCTCACACACGGTGTCGTTAAAAGGGCATCGATTGCCCAGATGGTGATGCTAACAGGCCATTAGCACATCTGAGCTCCATTGATTTCATGAGAACCTCTCACAGTGAATTAGGTCCCTGCATACTAATCCTGAGCTGCTTTACATGACTGAACGTGGCTGATCGACTGACAACATGTCATAGAAAGGCTTCTCCTCTTTTAGAGATTTGCTACCATCTTTACACACAGACAGAGTCCGCCAGGCGACGTCCTCAGACGACCTCTTTGCTGTCAGCAGATTTTCTCTTCAGACCGTAACTCATGGGCTGCTGCAGACGCTGCATGATGCAGTGTCAGAATCAAACACATAGATCCAAGCTAAAAGGATTACCTGCGTGTGTGTGTGCGTAGCTACTCTAAACACATTTAAAACAAGCAAAATCAACATTGTGGTAAAGTTTTAACCAGTAAAAGTCAGTCTAGGGTGAGTTAAGCCTTACATTCAGCGGGACATTATACCATAAAACTGTATGATTGTAAGGGGAGGAGGGGTGGGGTGGGGTGGGGGGGTGGGGGGGGGGGTGGAGGCTGATTGGATACGGCTGCTGCTGTGGGACATATTTCAAAACCAGGCTTCACCTTTGAACTGGTTTACACACAGCAATGATTTCAGGAGTAAATATCCATTTATGAGGACACACAAACCAGGATCACTGATGAATTTAACAGAAGATATGGCCTATTGATTTTTATATGGATTCCTTATGCTGTCATCACTTTAACTTCCTTTAAAAATGTTAAGTGTCACACAAGTCGTAATAACATTAACATCTGTATAACACTTAACCCATAAAGGTCTTCCTCTGCGTTTTGGAATCTAATTAGTCTGTTTTAATTTGTGTATTAACATCAATCTAATACACAATACAAATATTAAAGGTCCCATATTATTCTACATTTAAAAATAAAACATCCTATTTCATTTTTTTGTGAATAAATAATCAAGCCTTCAGAGCATGTTTTTGCAGGAAAATTCCTCTCGGATTAGAAAGACAGCCTTTAGCAAAAATCTCTTTATTCAGCCTTCCTTTGGACGAACTGTTTTTGGCTTTGAACGCCCCTGTCCTCTAAAAGGCCACGCCCCATAACCTGCAACCATGACAACCAGTCAGAATGTGCAAAGACAGTCCAGGAGCATAGAATAAAAGCTAAAATGAAGGCCGTAGCTCAGACCTCTCCAGACAGCTCATTTCTCACTCTCTTAGCTGTGGGGTTAAAACAATCTTTAAGTAAAATCACACCGATACGCCACATTCTGGTCCCAACATCTAAATACGTTGACAGAAACCTTCACTGATGCGGTTTTAACTGTAGTTCTTACACTGGAAAAAACTGAAATCTAGATGAGTAATTTTTTCTTAAAAATGAATTTGTTCTTGAATTGAGGAGGTAACTGAGACACTTTGTCAGTGGAACAAGACAATTTACATTTAAAATAAGAAAACATAATAGCATTGTCTTATTTCAAGTGCATATTATCTAATTATCTCATTTTAAGAGTAAAAATACTCATTCCATTTTGCAAACTATCTCATTTACCTACTCAAATTAAGGGTAAAACACTTAATTTAACATTTTTTTTCTTATTTCTAGATTGTTTTTCCAGTGTTACTAACAAGCCGTCTGCTGCAACAAGTCGCCTTTACTCTCTGTTTAAATGCAAAAAGTTGTTTCCACCTCATTGGAGGATCAAATGGTGCTAAAACAACTGAAGATTTGTTTCTAATAAAGGGGCCGTTGTTCTTGCTATAATTGTATTCTGACAGCTGAAAATGTAACATAGGTTCAGGTGTTGAGAGGAGAAGGCCGACTGTTATGGGAGGAGAGCCAAACAATCAGGCTTGATGAAATATAAGCAGAGATGTGTGAAGCTGAGGCTGGAAGCCACATCCAGAACTGCAGGTGTCTGTGAGACAAGAGTCGGTTAGAGTACAGACGGTACCAGGAGGAAGCTTCAGGGAGGGAGTGACAAGTTACAAACGAATAAAAAGTGGAAAATGAGCAGACAAAGTAATGCAGAGAAGAGGGGGGGGGGGCTGACAGGTGAGGACGGCAAAGACAACAATGAATTATGAGCAGCGGTTTCAAAAGTACACAAGTGTTACTTAAGTAGAAGTATAGATACTGCAGTTTAAAACACTCTGGTAAAAGTTGAAGTATCAACTTGACCTCTTTACTCAAGTAAAATTGAAAAAGTATGTGCTCCAAAAACTACTTAAAGCTTTTGATGATTTCCTTTAGCTAACCAATGAGTGCTTGCGTTATACGACTCATTCAATTACACTAGTTTTTACTAGATGTGGATGGTGCCAATGATCTGCATTGGATGGAGCACATGATGTGAAATAAATATTTACAAACATTAAACTGAAGCCAAGAGTATCGAGTAAACGTTTGTTTTAAAAATGTAAGGAATAGAAAGTACAGATACACCTGTATAGATGAGTAGAAGTCAGAAGTAGGAAGAAAAACAAGTAATGGAGTAAATGGATAATGGATAGTAATGGATACCTAAAAAGTGTACTTGAGTACAGTAACAAAG